TCTGTTTCCTCATGTTTGCCTTGATAGAAGTCTCTGAAGGTTTTCTATGCAGAAGAGAATTTAATCAGTGAATATATATAAAGAAATCTACCATGTTGCTTATCTGTTTCCCCTGATCTCCACCTTTTACTTTACTTAACAATGAAACATGACGTCTGTTCAGCAGGTCATTTCCACATTGTTCAGCTGAGTCTCAACATGTCTGCTGTGTCAGAGGTCACTGACAATGTTCAGCAAAGCTCATTATAAATTCATCACCAACATAAAATATTATTTCATACTGTTTATGTAGTAACAAGAACAATGGAGGATATTTACTAAAGGCTGTAAAACTCTATCACCTCATTCAGTTTGATTTATTCAATCACTTTGTTCAGTTTAGCTGGGAGCAGTACTGTTTATTTTATACACCTTCATATCAACCAGTTTCTTGTCTCCACGTCCGTCAGTTACAGCTCAACATGATGATCCATGTGTTGTGGTGTCTGTGTCACCTGATGAATCTACGGTCAGTGTTCCTTCTCTTTTAGCTCCACCAGCTCCACGATGTTCACCAGCCGCTCTGCCTGAGTCTGTCGGCTGTTTGCTGCTCAGCAGGTCGAGGACAGTGGCTGTTTACAGCTGTTTCTCTGAGAACAGCTGCTGCTGGGAACCATGTCATCAGGCCCCCCCTTCGTTGGTTTGGTTCATCCTTTCAGAAATTCTCCTTGTGTCTGTGGCAACTGTCAGATAAATAGAACCACAACAGAAACAACATTATAATTAAAAACAGACATTTAACAACAGAGTGTTAACTACAATTAAATCACCATCAATCAGGAATTAAGTACGACAAAAGCAAGCGACACACCCCACATATCTTCAAGATTTGTTTGACAGAGCTATAACGGCTCGTTCGGCTTGCAAAGTCAACAAAGGTGATATTTCTTGTTCAACAACATCTCAAGAGAGAGACAAACAGAGAAGATACAAACCAACAGACAAAGTACGAATCAGAACATTGACACAGAACCAAAGAAAACTGCGTTTTTAAGATATTTCTTTAGAGAAACGATTTGTCTGTTCAGAGTCGAGGATCAACAACAACAGAACTGTCACCTTTAGTTTTCAGCCAGGTGTCCTGAAGACCTGAGTCTCTCAGAGGTCAGAGGTCAAAAACTCCTTTAAACAGAGGGAGCGGCCGTGTGATGGATTTTTATGTCAAGAGTATAATTTAACACATTAACTGACAGACAGAGAAACCAGAGCACTGTGTGATTTTACCTGTGTTCCAGTTCAGGGTCTCGACCTTCAGACGCTGCATCTGAAGACGACTACATCAAAGGCTTTTATTTACATTTATATTTTATTATATTTTATTTTCTCTCTATGCATTCATACTTTTTAATATATTACTTTTTTATGCAGTTTTTAACTTCTCTATTTAAAGCACATTGACTTGCCTCTGTATATGAAATGTGCTGTATAAGTTTACTTGCATTGTCTTGTCCTCCAGTTTTGTCAGGGCGTATTATTACTTCTTCATGTGAAGAGAAAACAATCCTGAAGTACGTGACAAACACAGGGTGTGATCACACGACAGCTTAATTAAACTGACAAACCTTAACAAAGATCTTTTCACTGATGTTGTTCTTCCTGCTCTGCTGCTTTTGTTTCTTTCACTTGTAAATAAGATTCAGCTCCAACGGTTTTTCTCCTGTAAGAACAGTCTTCTTATTTACATGTTGACTATGTAGCTTCATTATTAACTTCAGTTGAGTCTGCTCAGTCCACACAGCATCATCCCTTCAGTCATGTAGTGTTGGCTCCATCTAGTGGTCACTACACAAACCAGCAGCAACAGAGTTTATCACACCTTCTTCATGATGCTCTGATTAAACATCAGCTCTAATGGTGGAGTGTGTTTCTCTGTTCCATCACAACAAAGTCAAAGTGTTTCAGGAACAAAGACAAACAGACATTTATTGAATAAAGTTCAGCAGAAGCTTCAACAGACTGAAGAAGCAGCTGATGATCCAGTGAAGACTCTGATCAAACTCTTTTCATCAAGCAGATTTTATTCAGGATTCACAGAAAACTGCATCAATCAGGACGTGATTTCATGTGGAACAACACAATATAGTGAATTCACTCAAATATGGCTGCTTCACAGATAAAGTCCAACATTAGAGGATCCAGATGTTTCTGTGGTCTGACAGATGTGAACTAGTCATTCCAAGCATGAAGACACATGAAGAAACCAAAGTAGAAATCAAATCAAAGTGGGTCAGATTTCATGAGTGGACTCTTCAGAAACTCTGAGGTGTGAAAGTTGGATTCAGAATATTTCTACAGTGTGTCTGAGTTCAGTGTCTGTAACATCCTCTGTACAAACTGATGCTAATGATCTTTATACATCAGGTCAGTGACTGTTACTGTCCCACCACCAGTTTACTGACACTGTGTCAACATGAGCAACATCCCAATAAATCACAGCCTCAATCACTGACAACATTAGAAAACATTCAACCAACACTGAGAAAACTGAGAGAAATAAATGTTCCACACAGTCTGACTGAGAGATCAGGGAGGGAGGGGCTGTTGTACTGAGCACTGAACACCAGGGGGCGTCACTCCATTTAAAGAAGAGCTGTGAGCTCCCACTTCACTCTGCTTATTACCTCAGTTAGCTTTACTTTATCTAAAGAAAGAAACAAGTAGATTACACTGATTCAGTTTCAGTAAACACCTCGTTAGATATAATTATTACACGTAATTATCACCTGTTACATTTAACTCTTTCTATTTGTTTTAATCATTTTTCAACATCCAAGTTTCTTATACATGACAACTACCCTGTGGTTAATGTTAGTTAGTGAGTTAGTTAGTGAGTTAGTTAAAGTTATGTAACTACAGCACTTTGCTAAATTGTTGGATTGATTGATTACTGTTAGAATAAACTGTTAGTGATGCTGTGGCACCAACTGTTGGTCTCTGATGTGGATCCTGTGCTGTAGATTTGTTCATTAGCAACATGATCACTGAGGAGTCTGGACCTCAGTGTCGCTCTTGTCACTTTTATTTTCTTTTGAATAGTTTACAGAATGTATCATACGCGTACTGTATCCCACTGAGGACTCTTTCATCCACTCGACTTCTCATCTCCTCCAGCTTCTGGACCTTCTCTGTGTCTCCTCTCTCCTTCATCTTCTCAGTCAGGAAGTCCAAGTGGACCCGAGTGGACAGTGAATCCACATTCAGGGCGATCTGCTCCAGCCTGACGACATGTTGGTAGGACTCTTCAAGGAACTGATCTTTCTTCGCTGTCAACTCTTTCATTTCCTTTTCTAGATTTTCCAGGAGGCTCAACTTCTTCTCACTTTCTGCTTTATTCTCTTCGTACTTGTCTTTCATGCCTTGTAGAGTCTTCTCAACTTTTTTTATCTTGTTGACATAGATCGACTTTTCTTTCTCATGATCTGATGCAGGACATTTATTAGTACAAACAGTGCAGCGGCCTCCTTTCATCACCTTACAGTGTCCAGGTTTCCAGGCCATTGTGCATCCTGGATAGTGACAGTTCTCTTTACAGACTTTACAGGTCACAGCTCCTGTATATAACAACCACAAGAACCCCCCCATCCCACCATCAGTAGGTTGTTTATCTCTGTAGACCTCATCCACTTCTACAGTGAAGTCTTTATTCTTCTCCATCTCATGTTCATGTTTCTCCAGAGCTTCTTTTGTCTGTTTGATCTCAGTCTGTTTCAGTTCAATCAAACCAATTCTCTCCTGCAGGTTCTGGATGCAGGCCGTCAGTCTGACGTGTTCGTTCAAAACATCCACAGTTTTCTCCAGTTTTTGAGGTGCAGCTTTTTCCAGAAAGTCTTTAAACCGACTCATTCCTCTCATTGTTACTTTATCAGCTTGTTCCAGCCCTTCTCTGTCGTCTGTTCGGTCTTCTTTCTGGCAGTTATCAAACAGGAAGTGAACAGGAAGTTGATTCTTCTCATCTCTGGCACATTTAATTTTTGCAGCTTCAAGAGCTTCAAGAACATTTTTTGGTTTTCTTCCAGTTGAGTGAGTGACGAGAGCGACGATGTTCTTCTCCATGTCTTTTCCAAACAGAGACATCACTGAACTGAAGATGTACATCAGTCGATCACTCAGTCGATTCTCTGTCGCCTTCAGCACCAGACCCACTGCACTAACTTCATGAACTCCTTCTTCTGAGCTGAACAAGTCAAATAATCTGTGACTGACGATGAGATCATGTTTAGTCCCTCTGGTGTCTCCATATCCAGGAGTATCAATGATGGTCAGAGAGTAGGGCAGAGTGTTTTCTTTAAAGTCAAAGATCTCGTACACGATCACATCAGATGTCTGACTTTCTGTCTGACTTCTCTCCTCCTCCTCTACGATCTCAGACCAGATGTCGTCATCAAACTCTACTCCCATGGCGTAGTTGACCAGAGTGTTGATCAGAGCAGATTTCCCTGTTCCTCTTTCACCAACAAGTAAGATGGTTTTATTTACCTTGTTCAGATTTCTTTCACCAACAGTCCTTCTGGTCAGAGTACCGATCCTCTCTGTCTTTGGTCTCAGCTGGTATCGAGCAGGAGATCCTGAACTGATCTGAGAACTTTTGGAGATGATGTCCTTGTATTTTGATGAGATGTTACTGATCCTGTGGAGGAAGTAGAATAAAGCTCAATCCACAGAGACAGAGTGAGAGAGACAGAAACAGCTTCATGATGACTGTGATGAAGAGTGTAACTGCACTGCAGACTACAGTCTCTGACAGCCAGGTGAAAGGTGAGCTCGTACTGATTCTATCACTGGATCTGAAGCAGCTTCAGTGTGTTCATGTTTCTGAGGAGCTTGTAGCGTCACTGTCTCTTTCAGTCACAGTGTATTGTTGCTGCCTGTTGTTACTCACGTTGCCATGGTGATTCCTGGTGCAGAGCTCCACACAGTGAAGGTGAATCAGGTGTGATGGTGTCTGGGGTTTGGTCTCTGCATCAGATTAAAAACAACCAATAAAACATTAACAACAATGTAAGAGAGAGAGAGAGGGAGAGAGAGAAACCCTCCACCCTCCCTGCTGAACTGCTTGTTTGAAGTCACACAGTTTCTCTGAAATCATGTGACAACAGCACACACACACACACACACACACACACACACACACACACACACTGATGGATGTAATGGAGACACAGATAGTGCTTAGTCATACAGGGGTATGAAAATAATAAAGTAAAGATATAATGTAAAACTATGTTACAAGAAGATTATATTACAAAAATATAAAAGTATCAAAAGAATTTAAAATATCTAAGCACCAAATGTACAGTGTACAATATGAACTTAAACACAGAAACAGTCATTGAATCACTGAGTACTCAAAATATGTTAGTGATGAATTTTTAAGTTTTTACTTGTTTAAGTTTGGAGCGTCATCATGAACATCATCATTTCAGTGAATCTTTGTGTATTCTGAGCCTCAACAGTCATTTGTTTTTCATTGGACTGGGCTGAACATTGTTCTGAACATCCAGGAAACACCCTGGGTAATTTGCCACATGCATTCATGGGAATAGTTGTTCAATGTTTTGTAGTAGTCAAATTATTTTTTTGACCTGCACAAAGAATTGCTCATTTTCAAAAAGTAATTTCTCCACTAGTTTTCACTTTTCTGCAGCCAAATTTAGATTCTGTGGTATTAATATGATCATATCACACCTACAAGTGAATTGGTCCTGTATTAAAGAATGAAGTGCCATAGATCCTGGAAAATATAGAGCTGAAAACTATTTTTTTAAAATATATTTTGACTGTATATTTTCCTGTATAATTAAGGATTATTTTAATTTCTTCAAAAATTCTTTATGGGAAAGTTTTAATTTTAATTGTAGATCTATCTATCCATCCATCCATTATCTATACCACTTATCCTTATAGGGTCGTGGGGGGGCAGGAGCCAATCCCAGCTGACATTGGGTGAAATTCTAATCATCTGCTTTTTGACCATGAAGAAGAAAAACATCTTGTATTTCAAGTCAATTAACGACTTGTTCTTTGTTGATCAGCTGTTTCTGAAAGAAAATCAAAGGACAAAACAAACTCGGACCTTTTCATTCTTCAATGTAAAAGTGAACAAAGTAAAAGTATCAACAACCAAGAACTGATGATTGTTGTTTTTTTCTTTTTTGGTTTGAACACAAATTTGAAAGAAATAACAGATTTCCTTACTTCCTTCACTTAGTAATGAATTGTGGATCATCCAACGATACACAGACTGAGAACTTTCTCACCTTCCTTTTATACATTTAGCTTTACTTGGATTTCGTCTTGGAGAAAAGTAACTGAACTAAGAGGAAAAGAGTTTCCTGATGAAGTGATTCAGACGAGATCAGACCAACTACAGGTTTGAAAACAGCTTCAGGTTTAACTGTGAGTTGGTAGAGTCCATTTATTGTGTAATATTCTTTCATTGCTGATGAATGAATCTGTTGTTAATGTTTTATTGGTTGTTTTTAATCTGATGCAGAGACCAAACCTCAGACACCATCACACCTGATTCACCTTCACTGTGTGGAGCTCTGCACCAGGAATCACCATGGCAACGTGAGTAACAACAGGCAGCAACAATACACTGTGACTGAAAGAGACAGTGACGCTACAAGCTCCTCAGAAACATGAACACACTGAAGCTGCTTCAGATCCAGTGATAGAATCAGTACGAGCTCACCTTTCACCTGGCTGTCAGAGACTGTAGTCTGCAGTGCAGTTACACTCTTCATCACAGTCATCATGAAGCTGTTTCTGTCTCTCTCACTCTGTCTCTGTGGATTGAGCTTTATTCTACTTCCTCCACAGGATCAGTAACATCTCATCAAAATACAAGGACATCATCTCCAAAAGTTCTCAGATCAGTTCAGGATCTCCTGCTCGATACCAGCTGAGACCAAAGACAGAGAGGATCGGTACTCTGACCAGAAGGACTGTTGGTGAAAGAAATCTGAACAAGGTAAATAAAACCATCTTACTTGTTGGTGAAAGAGGAACAGGGAAATCTACTCTGATCAACACTCTGGTCAACTACGCCATGGGAGTAGAGTTTGATGACGACATCTGGTCTGAGATCGTAGAGGAGGAGGAGAGAAGTCAGACAGAAAGTCAGACATCTGATGTGATCGTGTACGAGATCTTTGACTTTAAAGAAAACACTCTGCCCTACTCTCTGACCATCATTGATACTCCTGGATATGGAGACACCAGAGGGACTGAACATGATGTCATCGTCAGTCACAGATTATTTGACTTGTTCAGCTCAGAAGAAGGAGTTCATGAAGTTAGTGCAGTGGGTCTGGTGCTGAAGGCGACAGAGAATCGAGTGAGTGATCGACTGATGTACATCTTCAGTTCAGTGATGTCTCTGTTTGGAAAAGACTTGGAGAAGAACATCGTCGCTCTCGTCACTCACTCAGATGGAAGAAAACCAAAAAATGTTCTTCAAGCTCTTGAAGCTGCAAAAATCAAATGTGCCAGAGATGAGAAGAATCAACCTGTTCACTTCCTGTTTGATAACTGCCAGAAAGAAGACCGAACAGACGACAGAGAAGGGCTGGAACAAGCTGATAAAGTAACAATAGATAGAAGTTGATGAGGTCTACAGAGAGAAAGAACCTACTGATGGTGGGATGGGGGGGTTCTTGTGGTTGTTATATACAGGAGCTGTGACCTGTAAAGTCTGTAAAGAGAACTGTCACTATCCAGGATGCACAATGGCCTGGAAACCTGGACACTGTAAGGTGATGAAAGGAGGCCGCTGCACTGTTTGTACTAATAAATGTCCTGCATCAGATCATGAGAAAGAAAAGTCGATCTATGTCAACAAGATAAAAAAAGTTGAGAAGACTCTACAAGGCATGAAAGACAAGTACGAAGAGAATAAAGCAGAAAGTGAGAAGAAGTTGAGCCTCCTGGAAAATCTAGAAAAGGAAATGAAAGAGTTGACAGTGAAGAAAAATCAATACCTTGAAGAGTCCTACCAACATGTCGTCAGGCTGGAGCAGATCTCCCTGAATGTAAATTCACTGTCCTCTCATGTCCACCTGGACTTCCTGACTGAGAAGATGAAGGAGAGAGGAGACACAGAGAAGAAACAGAAGCTGGAGGAGATGAGAAGTCGAGTGGATGAAAGAGTCCTCAGTGGGATACAGTACGCTGCTGGAAGATACGATAAACTATTCAAAATAAAATAAAAGTGACAAGAGCGACACTGAGGTCCAGACTCCTCAGTGATCATGTTGCTAATGAACAAATCTACAGCACAGGATCCACATCAGAGACCAACAGTTGGTGCCACAGCATCACTAACAGTTTATTCTAACAGTAATCAATCAATCCAACAATTTAGCAAAGTGCTGTAGTTACATAACTTTAACTAACTCACTAACTAACTCACTAACTAACATTAACCACAGGGTAGTTGTCATGTATAAGAAACTTGGATGTTGAAAAATGATTAAAACAAATAGAAAGAGTTAAATGTAACAGGTGATAATTACGTGTAATAATTATATCTAACGAGGTGTTTACTGAAACTGAATCAGTGTAATCTACTTGTTTCTTTCTTTAGATAAAGTAAAGCTAACTGAGGTAATAAGCAGAGTGAAGTGGGAGCTCACAGCTCTTCTTTAAATGGAGTGACGCCCCCTGGTGTTCAGTGCTCAGTACAACAGCCCCTCCCTCCCTGATCTCTCAGTCAGACTGTGTGGAACATTTATTTCTCTCAGTTTTCTCAGTGTTGGTTGAATGTTTTCTAATGTTGTCAGTGATTGAGGCTGTGATTTATTGGGATGTTGCTCATGTTGACACAGTGTCAGTAAACTGGTGGTGGGACAGTAACAGTCACTGACCTGATGTATAAAGATCATTAGCATCAGTTTGTACAGAGGATGTTACAGACACTGAACTCAGACACACTGTAGAAATATTCTGAATCCAACTTTCACACCTCAGAGTTTCTGAAGAGTCCACTCATGAAATCTGACCCACTTTGATTTGATTTCTACTTTGGTTTCTTCATGTGTCTTCATGCTTGGAATGACTAGTTCACATCTGTCAGACCACAGAAACATCTGGATCCTCTAATGTTGGACTTTATCTGTGAAGCAGCCATATTTGAGTGAATTCACTATATTGTGTTGTTCCACATGAAATCACGTCCTGATTGATGCAGTTTTCTGTGAATCCTGAATAAAATCTGCTTGATGAAAAGAGTTTGATCAGAGTCTTCACTGGATCATCAGCTGCTTCTTCAGTCTGTTGAAGCTTCTGCTGAACTTTATTCAATAAATGTCTGTTTGTCTTTGTTCCTGAAACACTTTGACTTTGTTGTGATGGAACAGAGAAACACACTCCACCATTAGAGCTGATGTTTAATCAGAGCATCATGAAGAAGGTGTGATAAACTCTGTTGCTGCTGGTTTGTGTAGTGACCACTAGATGGAGCCAACACTACATGACTGAAGGGATGATGCTGTGTGGACTGAGCAGACTCAACTGAAGTTAATAATGAAGCTACATAGTCAACATGTAAATAAGAAGACTGTTCTTACAGGAGAAAAACCGTTGGAGCTGAATCTTATTTACAAGTGAAAGAAACAAAAGCAGCAGAGCAGGAAGAACAACATCAGTGAAAAGATCTTTGTTAAGGTTTGTCAGTTTAATTAAGCTGTCGTGTGATCACACCCTGTGTTTGTCACGTACTTCAGGATTGTTTTCTCTTCACATGAAGAAGTAATAATACGCCCTGACAAAACTGGAGGACAAGACAATGCAAGTAAACTTATACAGCACATTTCATATACAGAGGCAAGTCAATGTGCTTTAAATAGAGAAGTTAAAAACTGCATAAAAAAGTAATATATTAAAAAGTATGAATGCATAGAGAGAAAATAAAATATAATAAAATATAAATGTAAATAAAAGCCTTTGATGTAGTCGTCTTCAGATGCAGCGTCTGAAGGTCGAGACCCTGAACTGGAACACAGGTAAAATCACACAGTGCTCTGGTTTCTCTGTCTGTCAGTTAATGTGTTAAATTATACTCTTGACATAAAAATCCATCACACGGCCGCTCCCTCTGTTTAAAGGAGTTTTTGACCTCTGACCTCTGAGAGACTCAGGTCTTCAGGACACCTGGCTGAAAACTAAAGGTGACAGTTCTGTTGTTGTTGATCCTCGACTCTGAACAGACAAATCGTTTCTCTAAAGAAATATCTTAAAAACGCAGTTTTCTTTGGTTCTGTGTCAATGTTCTGATTCGTACTTTGTCTGTTGGTTTGTATCTTCTCCGTCTGTTCCACCTTGTAACTTTCAGTTTTGAAAAGTGCCACAGACCAAGGTTGCATGTTGACATGTTGCCAAACAGGAAATATCATGTTATTTAATGCTTATTTATACTTGGTAGGTTGGCTGAACAGAGACGTTCTTTAACGTCAACACTGAGTGAACAGTTTAGGGTGAGACTTCATAACACACCCTGTGATCTACTGTGTAACTACGTGGTCTGAATCCGGTCCCAGTAAAACACTGACTGGTTCCCACTGATACTGAAACGTACAGTGGAAGAAACTAAGACTGGAGAACAGGAGAGAAACAACTGGGTATTTTAGAGAAAGGAGAAATAAATGTTTTTAACTGGGCTCCTACAGGATATAAACCTGAGAACCTGATAACAACAATTTCTTGTATAAAAAGACACAAAACAATGAAACATTCTGTGGCCAACTGTTAATAATGAACTAAGTTTTTATCACTGCGTCATACATACAAGCACACTTAGCCTGCGGGGGCTCACAGGACTACGTATTTATTAAAGCAAGATTCAGAATGGTCTTTACATTTTAAATACAATACTTCTGCTCTCTGTAGGAGTGTCTCAGCTGGTCACTGTGGTCAGCCTCGACTTACAGTTCTGTCATGGCCCTTATGAGTATCTCCACTTCTGCCTTGGATGGATCCTCCCTCGCTTTGCTTTGCTCCTCTACTTGGGTAATGGGCTCTTGGCCCATCGTCAGTTCTTGTGGTTCAGTGGTTCTTAGGCTTGGATTTCGTTGGTCGAAACTTTGACTGAGACCTACAAAAGGACTGACACCATATACCCGTAAAGCCAATTAATCTACAGCCTTTTTGTTGGCCATTAGTTTAGAATTGATATATTAACACTATAGTGTTTTAATGTGTTTGTGTGGGAAGGTCTGAAAGGTGACAGTCTGCAGACAGGCGCACATTCAACTATCAACAGCTATGTCAGGTTAAAGAGGACCTGTATGCACAAGGGGACAACACTACATATGCATCAGCTGCATATCCAGATTAGCACAAATGAATCAACCAATTGAAGTGTCCAATTAATGGTGTCACCCAGCAAGACTGAAAGTAACCTGAAGGGGTGAGTTCAGTGAAGTGAACTATGATTTTCCTGCTGTGATTACTGCTGTTTAAGGTGATGACTATAGAACAAAGTGTACATATAACTTCTGTTCTATTATATTTTTCTATTATTCATCTAATTTATACATTTTGTTTTGCACATACATTAACATTGTGGCTGCAAGCGGCAATTTGCAGATTGTAAGCCCTTTGCACTCAACAAAAAAAAACAGCCACATTTCAGCCAATTAAAAAACCATCAATTTAGCTTACAGTCTCAAAATGTTATAACCACAACAACAGCAGTAATCTAATCAACACACAGCAACATTAAACAACACTGATGTGTAGTAACTAGTTGAGTTAGTTACCTGCTGAATTACCTGTATTGATAATGTTGTAAACTGTGAAACACACAGTGCTGTTTGTGTGAGTTCATCTGTACTCATAATTGATCCAAAACACCAACATGACACGGTGTCAGAATTAAGCAATGGAGCAACTAAAGCCGCCGAACTGCTTGAGAAACCTGGTATTTGTGGATTCATAAGATAAAGTCTTTAATACCATGGACTTTGATGATGATGTGGATGTTAAAAAGTGAAAAAAGTTTCAGCAGTATTGCAAGCCACATGTTTTTCAGAAGGGTCCAAGGAAAGAGCGAGTCACTTGGTCAGAGCCAGATCAGGGAATCAGTCATCAATATTGCTCATCAATGAGTAAAACTGTTGCCATCTATAGAGCCAACAAAGCTACACAAAGCCACCTGAAAGAAAAAGTGAGGAATGAATGAACCTGGCAAGTGCCTATGGTCAAACATGTAAAGTGTGCCATCAAAAACACCACTCCATTCACAAGTCCCTGAAGGAGAGCTCTCGGAAAATGGAGAGAAATGTTAATGAGCTTGAACGAGAGGAAAGCGATATGTTTATTGGAGCTCTTCGGTCAAGAAATGTGAAAAGAAAAACCTGTTGTTGTCACAACTGCACTGTTGAACCGACTGACTGGGTAAATAATATGGTCACTCTCCAACAGCCAAACAAAAGAGAAATCAGGATTTGCATTGAACCAAAAACCACAACAAAGCCAGGAAGAAGGCGCACTATCCCCTTCACAGGAGGTTGTGGCAGAAATGTCAAACGCAAAGTTCTTTTCGGGAATGGACGCAAACCATTTTTTCTGGTAAATACAACTAGATGAGAACAGTTCTGTCACAGTTCTGCATCTCAGGTCACCTGCCTCACCTCAGTATTCCCTGTCATCCAGCTCCCAGTCAGTAATGTTCCTTTCACCCTGTTCTCCTGCACCTCCCTGCATTAGCCACTCCATTCACCTGGTCACACAGCTGCTCCTGATTACACTCACCTAGTATACAAACCGCAGCCTTCCAGTCGTTCTTTGCCAGATTGTTCTTCGCTTTTCTCCATGCAAGACTCTCCAACATTTGTTTGGACTGATTCCCGTTACCGAACCCGTTTGTCCCCAACTTGCCTCCCTCGTCTGAACCCTGGTTAACACTTCAGCCGTCTGTCTCTGGCCTCGAGAACTGCTTTTGTGTCTTTGTACTTTATTCTGCATGATCCTGTGGTGGCTCATTCAGCCTCCAGGTCTAGCAGGAAGTCTGGTTTTGTTTTTTATTAACCTGCCAGTTCCAGTTTCTGCTTTGGTAGAAATAGAGGTCTCTACAAACTGTTTTTGTTGAACTGTGCGCTACGTTTGGGTCCTACACTCGCTCAATACAAGTTCTGTTACGGATGTTTAACACATCACTTGTTACTGCTGTTTCAAGTTGCTTTCCTTTGGTGTCTTATCAGCTTTCCAAAAATGCCTTGCTCAGAGACTGGAGGACCTGGAAGGAGTTGTGAATGTCACTGATAACATTCTGGTGTGGGGTGCAGATAAGGAACAACGTGACAAAAGGCTGAGACAGCTTTGTGACAGGCGCAAGGAGCATAAATCTCGAGCTGATCAAAGACAAGCGCAAGATTGGATGAACATATTGGACACGTGCCATGACATTCCAGATAGAGCTTGGGCAAAACGGGGTGTGGATCTCATATGTAGATATTCACTTTATACTCGAAGTCTCCTGAACTTGACAAACTGCCCGAGACAACAAGCAAGCTTGTTATCATAGCTCTTGAATCCATGTTTGCAATTCCTGGGATCCCAAACAATGGACCACAGTTTGCAAGCGGGACGCACAAAATGGAAGTTTAAGCACACATCAAGTCCAGGATTCCTACAAGCCAATGGACAACAGCAAGCTCACCTGCTCGAGAAGGCCAAAGACAGTCAAGGAGAAGATCTTGCTCTTCTGCTGTGAGAAAGTGTTGGTTGTGTTGGTTCCGACAGGAGCACACTAAGGAGTTACCACCTCTCTATATCTTCTATAAAAAGTCTGTGATGAGTGAATTTTATTTAACTTTTTCCTAAAGCTTCTTCTTTCAAAGTGTGAGACCAAGAGCGCGACACAGGAAGCAGATGTAAAAGTAAAGAGTCTTTACTACTTAAATGATCATACTGAATCATACTGACTTGCAGACAGTATACTACTGATATTCACCCTGTTGCTAGGTGAAAATTTAAAAAACAGTATTAATTAGATCAGATAAAGTCAGTGTGTATAAGGAACATTTTTTTGTCTGATTGTTATATAAGCAACTCAAAGGCTGAGTTATATAACTCTGATTTATTTATTTTATGAACCACTGACAAAACACAAATCCAGGGTGTAAAAATAAAGCTCCTTCCCCCTGCAGCTTGCTGTCACTTCCTGCTGCCACCACCTGATCTGAAACACTGTCTGGACTCAGGTCATCTGCCACGAGTCTACCCTCTACCAGGTGGAGACACAGTCTGATCGCATGATTTCAGAGGAACAAGGTGTGTCACAACCACAGCTGCGTCACATTCTGAGTCGATGGAGATCAGTCCAGAAAAACAAGTTTTGAAGAATCTCTGATCCACTGATCAGCAGGTCTGTCTCATTCAACTCTGTGGCAGCATCTGGGTAAATTTACCCCCCGCACCTGCACCTGTACCTGAGGCAGCAACCTGATCAGCTCAGCGCTGCTCTACCTGTTGAGTCTCCCTCAGCTTGTGCAGACAGAGAGGTAAGAAGAACCGCATCATCTCATGAATCTACCACAGCAGGAAAAACTCTTCTGTCAACACTGAAGTCAAAAATACTTTAATGTGAAAGTCATGGAACCTGTTGAAGTGCTGATCTGAGAGCAGCTTGTGATGTGTCTTTGTCTCCACTCAGAGTCGTCAGGATCAGACTGAGACACCGGGTCAACAGGATCTGAGGAGAACTTCTCCACACGTTTAGTTTGGAAAATGGACGGGGAACATCCTCCTGACTTTAATGATCCGTCATCGACCAGACTCCATACACATGCGACGTCATTCATCAAAGTATGTGACAACAATGAACCCAGAATGAGGCAGATATCAGGTGAGCTTCAGAAGATCGCTGCTGAAATCACAAACACACAGATGCAGTTAGTCGCAGGAACTGTGATTGCAGGAGTAGGACTTGGAGCAGCGATGATCACAGCTGTGTTCACTGGAAGTTTCAGTGTTGTGGTGTTTGGAGCTGCAAGTGTTGTTGTTATTGGTTTCATGATTATGATGAAAGTAACAGAAGAAGAAAGTGTGAAGAAAGTGGATGAATTAACAGAAGAGTTGAGGAGGATCGTTGCATCACTGAACTGTGAACTGGAAGATGTAAAGACTGCATGTGGAGAACTACGGAGAAAATCCGTCAGAGCTGAGGCCTCAAAGTTTATCAGACTGGAAATAAAGATACTGGAGCTGTTTGACGTTACTGCGAAAGTCAGAATACCAACAACTTTAGGCCGTGTTACAGAGGTGGCTGCTGAGTATGAGAAGACTTTGTATAGATTTGTAAAGATAAAAAATGAACTCCAACCATTTTAGAGAAAGACACTGATTGACCATTTTTAAGAGTAAGTCTCTGGTTGTAACAACAAGATATTCATCAGTATCAGTCCATTCTGTTCAAGATGAGCTACAGCGTCTCTGAGCGACGCAAGAAGACGAGACGTTTTCAGTTTCCATGGCTGATGGATGACGAGTCTCTACAGAGGACTGACTTGTCCCGGACTCTAAAGCTCTGGATTCAAAAACTACGTGTGACTTTCTCACAGGATGTTGTGCATTTGGCTTCATTGTGTGAAATAATTAAAGTTCAGTGGTGAAACGTTAAGAGTGTTTCTCTACAGACATTTTTACTGTGTGTGTAATATAACATCTGGAGTCTGATCTTTTCTCCGGTTATTTTACTTCACTTCAAACCCATTCTCAGTTTTATGTTGGTGTTTCTATCATTATATATACAGTATATATATACAGTATATACAGTGTGTATATATATATATATATATATATAACTGTTTTGCTTTATTTTCACTCTTGTGTCTTAAAATAAGAACTGACTTGTTTCTTTTCTGGAACTAATTTAAGGGGTTCTTGTGGTGGAGTTTTTATCTGGCCAGTGATGTCAGTGTGAGGTTCACCTGTAATCACCTGTCTGACAACTTAAAGACTTCAACATGACGAGGTGAAATCAAATGTTTCAGCAGGTAGAGACTCAAAAACACCTTTTTGTTTTATACAATATATGACGTAGTTAAAACTCGCTCCACCTCCAGCAGCTCCAACAGTAAAATGATGCACATACATTAGGACGTTAATAATAATAAACCAAAGATAGAAAGTATAATCATAGAAGAGGGAAAGGGGACATTTTGCCTTATGATTTTAACTGATAACAGTTTTGTACTTTAGGAGTTTTACCTGGAACAGAAACATTTTACATGTTAATGAAGTAAAGAGCCTCCGTCCTTCATCCATCACTGAACAGACAGAACTGCAGCTCTGAATATACTTTGTAAGAGAGGAAGAGTGAGTGAGAGGAGGGGAGTGAGTCCATCCATCCAGCAGGTGGCGCTCCAGAGTCAGTACCTGCAGACAAACAGGTAACAACCACTGCATCATTTCATAAACCTGAGACACAGCAGGTAAGAAACCAAGAGAAGTATTCACATCATGTAAGATGTAAAATAATCATCATCATTATTAAATTCTTTTATAATAAACTATTATGGATTAAACATCACAACCCTTTAAATATGTTGTGTTGCACATGACCTGAACTATCAGTGAGTTATCCGTCACTCACCACAGCTAGCTGCGTTTAGCTTCAGTCTTCCTCAGGTTGTAGCTTCACAGACCAGTTTCCAATGCCCAGTATTCTGCAGTAATATTCTGAGGGACGAGAGAAACATCCTAACTGCTCGTCCTATCTCGAGTCTCAAAGACAAATCCTGTCTTCATTACAGAACAATCCATAAACTCACAGCTGTGTCCAATCTCAGACCTCCCATCTCATCTGAAGAAATCCTGACTCAGCTGAATTACATTCTTCAATCAGCAATCGTCCTGTCACACCTGTCTGAGCTCCGAATGATCGTGAGACTGTACCTGTGATCAGAGTTTAGTCGAGCTGGACGAGCCGAAGCATCAGCAGCTCTCACTGCTGTTATAGACGAAGAGACGGAGTAAAGGTTGAACCACCACGAGTTGGAGGCATTGATCGTATCTAAACCTCCTGTGGAAGTTTCCTCCTCAGTTATCATCCCAACACAAAGACTTGAAGAGACGAGCAGTGGCTGGAACCTGGACGGGATGGTGAAGTTTTAGATGAACTCGTAAGTTCTACTTCTGCTGCCGCTGTTAAAAACAGAAAGCAGCTTGTTCATGTGAATGGACTCTCCTCTGTCACTCAAATATTCCCGCCCTGGAGCTGCGACTGCTGCTCTGAAACCAAGTCTGAACCGATTCTTCTCAAAGTCGTGGGCTGAAAACATCAATTAGCCTGGAGAAGCTCGTTATCTTCTCTTCACCTGCCTCACACGTGGCCGTCGCTGAGTGGAGGAGCCGCCTGAGCCCCGCCCACATGATGCTGCGACCCAGAGAGCAGACGAGAGGACAGAAGCAGCGCCACCAGGACTGACAGTGAAACTCACCGTCTTCTCTTTGAGTTCAGTTCAGGCTCAGTGAAAAATGTCTCAGTGAAAACCTGCTGCTGATTCTGACATCATGACGCTGAGATGTTGGTGACATCACAACAGGTAATATCCAGGTCACCTCCGTGTTCTGTGTGACTTCCTCTCTCAACATTTGTCTTCAGTCACGTGGCTTCAGCGTCGTCACGACTTCAAACCACTAAAACACCAAAGTTCTTCAACGTCCCATTGTTTCACTTCTGGATTTACAGATTATTTAACTTCATGTTACAACAGGAAACTGAAGGCATCATGTTGACCATGTGACGGATGATTGATTTCTCAATTTAGATCAATAAAGTCCGTCTATCGATCTATTTAACTTACCTCATGCACAAGTGAGAACACCACCTGATCTAAATGACACATATTGTTTATGTGAAATCTAGTTTTTAAATATAAAAATGTTATCTGATATTGATTAAATGGTTATTTCAATGATTTCAACTGATCGGTTATTGATTAGTATATCTCCTTAGTTGTGTGTTTCCCTCTGAGCTGACCCAGGTCTGTGTTCTCAGTATTTTCTTAACGAGGCTGATTTAAGAGTTTAGTTCCCTGTTTGTCAGTTAACTTAACCAGCAGGTTTATGATCCTCAGAAACTCGACACATTCCCATTTTATACCAATAAAGAACCAAAGAAATGGAACTTGTGGATCAGTCCTTTTGTTAAGTCCAGATGTTCCACAGTGTGTCGCAGCAAAACACTGAGTTGAGTCCTACCGTGATTCAGGTGTGAACCAGTGTCCTGATCCTGGGAGTGAAGGTCGGTCCTGCAGAAGCAGACGCCATCCAACCTGATGTCTCCTGTGGGCGGAGCCATCTTCATCACCAGCTTCAGGTGATCCTCACAGCTACAACCTGCCTGTTGATCAAGAGGATAAAATATCTCAGTCTGACATGATTGAGGAGGTCGAGCACCTGGATACAGGGTAATAGAGAAAGTGAAGGTGACATCATCTCACTGTTGAATTCTGGGTAACTGTCATCATCATGTAGTGAGGACCCCGCTGCCTCTCTGCTACAAACCTGAAGGACTTTCTTGTCATGCACACACTGTAGGACAAACCTGTGACATCACGTCTCCATCCACCTCTTATGTACAATATATTATCAACATGTGACACTGAGAAAAGCAAACACCTGCTTTTAAACCAGCTCCAGGATTATTACACGTCCTTTCATCGGGTCAAACCCACTGACCACCCTCATAACCACACAGCTGACAGTTTATCAGTTTAGTATTAGCTGGTTTAATAAAAGAGGACTGCCACCTTCTACGTGAAAAATAGGATCTATGTTATTTATCAATATTAGTGTATCACAGAACACTAAATCAACAGAAACAACTGCTAATCAACAGGAAACAACCTGCTAATCAACAGGAAACAACCTGCTAATCAACAGGAAAACAACCTGCTAATCAACATGTAACAATAGTTTAACATCTACACCAAATCCTCGTCGACACGTAAACAAACAGTTTCCAGAGACGAAGGCGCAGGTAAACACAACGTCCTCAGAACAGAAACTAATAAATAAAGGTTTAATTCCTCAAAACGTTTCTTCTTCTTTCTTCTTCTTCTTCTTTCTTCTTCTTCTTCTTCTTCTTCTTCTTCTTCTTCTTTCTTCTTCTTCTTCTTCTTTCTTCTTCTTCTTCTTCTTCTTCTTCTTCTTCTTTCTCTTCTTCTTCTTCTTCTTTCTTCTCTCTTCTTTCTTCTTCTCTTCTCTCTTCTGTTTCATGCCTGTTCTCTCTGTCGCTCTCTCTCTCCAGCAGGTGGCGCTACAGTCACACTGATTGGCTGTTACCGTCTTAAAGGAACATTACACAGATAAACAGGAAATCAACAGTGTAGATCATAATAACGGTCTAACTTAATAAATACTGAGATGTATTATCAGTTTAAGGTCGTAGTGACTCAGGTCACATGTTCATGGTGGATCCTATTAGATACTGAGGTTTATTAACAGAACATATTAATAATGCCTCAGAGGGTTTTACTCTCTTAAAAGTGAAACACAACATTCAGCCTCACTCTGATATTTTCTCTACAGTCCCTCAGTCGTAGACCTGTCGAGCTCAGGTGATCACCTGGATCACCTCACCTGACTTCATGAAGGGGAAACTGTAAAATACAAAATACTACTATGTCTAACACATCACAAACTCATTTATCTGTTTTATTTACTGAGGATTTTCCTAAGACTGATCATCAACCAATCATAAAGCAGAGTTCTGTGTGGGAAAGACAGAAATAAAACTTATTTATTCATAAAAGATTCACTGTCGACGTTGGAAAATCGATTTGAAAACCAATTTAATCAAATGTTTTATTTGCTGGATGATATTTGTCATATATTGTTCTTGTCTCTTTTAGTGTGTTTACATGTTCAGTAAACAGTATATTTACTCTGCTTCCCTCATGTTTTACTTATTCCATATATTTGAAGCTGTGTTTCAATGGGCTTTAGAATTCAAGTTGACTTGACTCTACTGTAGAAAGTAAGGTCTGTTTTTATAGACTGTCTGTTGTTAGAAGAAGCTCTGAGGTCGTTGTCATTTTTATACAATCTAACAACAATATTTATCAGCAGCTACCAGGGAGATTATGTCTGATAATGTTTGTCATTTTAATATAAACTGTTTATACCTTTTTAAGAACACTGTTTTACATCATGCAAAACATGAAAACCAATGAATTTATCATTTATTACTAGCTAAATATATTGTCACATATTCATGTAGAGTGAAGGTTTATACTCTCTGCTGCTGCGGTAGAAAAGAAGCTCTGAGGTCATCGTGTCCTCTCACTCCTACAACCAAACCTACATCTTTGTTATGGAGAGTCAAATATATTAATGACCTCAGACATTAAATCTGTCAGGTGAAGTCCACAGCAGGTTGAAAGTCTGTGCAGAGCTGTTTCCTGGAGACAGTGAACTTCCATCAGATCAGTTGAGTCTGCTCAGTCCACACAGCATCATCCCTTCAGTCATGTAGTGTTGGCTCCATCTAGTGGTCACTACACAAACCAGCAGCAACAGAGTTTATCACACCTTCTTCATGATGCTGATTAAACATCAGCTCTAATGGTGGAGTGTGTTTCTCTGTTCAATCACAACAAAGTCAAAGTGTTTCAGGAACAAAGAACAAACAGACATTTATTGAATAAAGTTCAGCAGAAGCTTCAACAGACTGAAAAAGCACTGATGATCCAGTGAAGACTCTGATCAAACTCTTTTCATCAAGCAGATTTTATTCAGGATTCACAGAAAACTGCATCAATCAGGACGTGATTTCATGTGGAACAACACAATATAGTGAATTCACTCAAATATGGCTGCTTCACAGATAAAGTCCAACATTAGAGGATCCAGATGTTTCTGTGGTCTGACAGATGTGAACTAGTCATTCCAAGCATGAGACACATAGAAGAACCAAAGTAGAAATCAAATCAAAGTGGGTCAGATTTCATGAGTGGATCTCTAGAAACTCTGAGGTGTGAAAGTTGGATTCAGAATATTTCTACAGTGTGTCTGAGTTCAGTGTCTGTAACATCCTCTGTACAAACTGATGCTAATGATCTTTATACATCAGGTCAGTGACTGTTACTGTCCCACCACCAGTTTACTGACACTGTGTCAACATGAGCAACATCCAATAAATCACAGCCTCAATCACTGACAACATTAGAAAACATTCAACCAACACTGAGAAAACTGAGAGAAATAAATGTTCCACACAGTCTGACTGAGAGATCAGGGAGGGAGGGGCTGTTGTACTGAGCACTGAACACCAGGGGGCGTCACTCCATTTAAAGAAGAGCTTGTGAGTCCACTTCACTCTGCTTATTACCACAGTCTGTGTGTACTTTTACACACTAACTAAACTTTTACATACCATCATCTCTACTGTACATGTGCTCCTTCATTGCCACTGGACATTGTGTTCTATCTCTCAGGCTTCTTTGGTTGCCACACCATCAACATTACATTACAAAACTTTTTCAAGCACAAGAAACTGATAAATTGGATTCTGTGTATGAGCATCCACATGGTTTAAGTACAAATCTATGCATGCACAGTGTTGATAAATGAGGCCTCGGGCTTCTTATTTACATGATATTTTAAGAGTGAAATAAAGGTGATACATTTCTTTCTTAAATCAACATCACAGTTAAAAGAATTGTATTGAATTAACTGTTGCGATGTTTGTATGAACAGAGCAGACCTTGTTGCCTACACACCTGTCTGACCTGTCACGTAAAAGACATCTTTAAGTCCTCTCCCAGCTGACATTATTTTTACGTACACGAACCGCAGCGCTGCAGGGACTCTTCTGTCCACTCGACCTTTTATCTCCTCCAGTTTCTGTTTCTTTTCTGTGTCTCTTCTCTCCTTCATCTTCTCAATCAGGAAGTCCAAGTGGACATGAGTGGACACTGAATCCACATTCAGGGCGATCTGATCCAGTCTGACAACATGTCGGTAGGCCTCTTCAAGCCACTGAGTCTTCTCTGCCGTCAGCTCTCTCATTTCCTTCTCTAGATTTTCCAAGAGGCACTTACTATCACTTTGTGACTTGTTCTTTTCATACTTCTCTTTCACATCCGTCAAGGTTTTCTGTATTTTCCGTGTCTTGTTCACAAACCTCCAGTTTTGTTTCACATGAGCTGATACAGGACACCTGTTGGTACAAACAACACAGTGGTCCCTTTCCATGATTTTACAGCGATTTGGACTCGGGGCTGTTGTGCATGGGTAGTGACAGGTCTCTTCACAGACAGTACAGCAGGTAGCTCCTTCAAGAAACCATATCCCCCACTTCCCACCTTTGATAGGTTCTTTATCTTTGTAGACCTCATCAACTTCTGCAGTGAACTTCTCATTCTTCTCCATCTCTTGTTCATGTTTCTTCAAAGCTTCCTGAGTCTGTTTGATTTCTGTATGTTTCAGTTCAATCAACTCAATTCTCTGTTCCAGGTTTTGGATGCAGGCCGTCAGTCTGATGCGTGAATTCAACACGTCAACTGTTGTAACCAGTTTTTGAGGTGCACATTTTTCTAGGAAATTTATGAACTGACCCATTTCTCGCTTTGTAATTTCCCAAGGATTCCTTAAAGCTGCCTCATTCTTGTCTGTTCTCTTCTTGTTCTGGCAGTTATCAAACAGGAAGTGAAGAGGTTGATTCTCCTCATCTCTGGCACATTTAATTTTTGCAGCTTCAAGAGCTTCAAGAACATTTTCAGGCATTATTCCATTGGAGTGAGTGATGAGAGCGACGATGTTGTTCTCCAGGTTTTTTCCAAACAGAGAAACGACGGAATCAAAGATGTACATCAGTCGATCACTCAGTCGATTCTCTGACGCCTTCAGCACCAGACCCACTGCACTAACTTCATGAACTCCTTCTTCTGAGCTGAACAAGTCAAATAATCTTTGACTAACAATGACATCAAGTTCGATCCCTCTGGTGTCTCCATATCCAGGAGTATCAATGATGGTCAGAGAGTAGGGCAGAGTGTTTTCTTTAAAGTCAAAGATCTCGTACACGATCACATCAGATGTCTGACTTTCTGTCTGACTTCTCTCCTCCTCCTCTACGATCTCAAACCAGATGTCGTCATCAAACTCTACTCCCATGGCGTAGTTGACCAGAGTGTTGATCAGAGTAGATTTCCCTGTTCCTGTTTCTCCCACAAGTAAGATGGTTTTATTTACCTTCTTCAGATTTCTTTCACCAACAGTCCTTCTGGTCAGAGTACTGAACTCTTTTATCTTTGGTCTCAGCTGGTATCGAGCAGGAGATCCTGAACTGATCTGAGAACTTTTGGAGATGATGTCCTTGTATTTTGATGAGATGTTACTGATCCTGTGGAGGAAGTAGAATAAAGCTCAATCCACATTTCAACTTCACATACAAACCTTCACCTTTTTATCTATAAAATGATTAAATCTAAAAATGTTTAAATTGCTGATTTGGTCCAAAACACTGCAGCTGAAATGCTGAGGGCTGAAATCTTTTGTTTTTAACCATCATCATTGAATCTTTATCTAAACTCAAATATTTTGATCCCAGGAGAGAAATGTAGCTTCACTACAGCAGAAGAAGTCCAGAGAGGTGAATAACAACAGCATCCATTTCCTCTGACTGTGACCAGACTGACCCCACACCCTGATAAATTTGACCCATGTAAAAAATCTCATGTGGTCTGTGACCCATTAACGTTCTGCCCAGAACCTTTATCCTCACACCAGTCTCTGTGGCTGTTGCAGTGCTGGAAAGTAACTCACTACATTTACCCAAGTACTGCACTGATGTACCATGTTTAGGTACTTGTACTGTTACTGTAACTGTGTACTTCCACTCCACTATGTTTCAGAAGGAAGTATTGTACTTTCTACTGTACCACATTTATCAGATTCAGATTTTCAAACTCAACATTTAACAATTAAATATGTAAATAGCAAATTGATTTTTAGACATTACACTGTTCCAACAGTTTATAAAACAATAACATCAAAGTACCACTCACATATTGATACATATATAAAATATAAAAATACATCACTAATAGTAGCCTTTGTTACTTCATATGACTTTTACTGTTATGTTCATTTAAAGACCAGACACTGAAACTTTAGGCTGGTGAAAGGTGTCATCGATAGATGATGTTGCTGGGATCATATCAGTTTGATTATCAACAAATGTTTCTGTTCTTGCTGTGAGCCGCTCGTCACAGTGAGAAACAGGCCACATGTTGAATGTGTAGATCACACAGAGCAGCAGTGAAGCCTGAGCATCAGTCTCTTTCTGCATCAAAGGGTTAAATCATCATTTATCAAGGTCTAAAGAGGAGGTTTCAACATATCGCCATATATATTGTGTATTGTGATTTAGCCTAAAAATATTGTAATATTACGTATAGACCAGCCCTGGTACAGCTATGTTTAAACTCATGTAACATTTCTATCAGCGTAGGCAGGGCAACAAACACTACATCACTATATTCTATTTTCTCCTGAAGGTACAAGGTTAATTACACAGGCGAGTCCTCCGACAAAAATTCAAACGCTTTACAATCTAACATCACAATGCTCTCAGGATGAGCCTGACCAAATATGATGTCAATCTTATTAACTGTCTAGGAGTATAGTACTATAGTATAGTATGATACTAAAGTATCATGTCCTCAAATTACAAAGACGGCACCAAAATTTCAAATTAAATTCAAAATGGCCGATTTCCTGTTGAGTTTCGGGTATGGGCTGTAATAATGTTTTTTGTATGTTTTGGCATGTTACATGCATCTACCAAGTGTCGTGCATGTAGGTGAAACTCAGTGTGATTGGTGCCACAACAGGGGACGCTATCGAGCCATTTGGCAACACCCATGTGCAAGATCTATAAAATATCAGGTGCCCCATGTGTAGAGGCCGCAGTCCTCGCTGCAGTCGGCCCCGGTTCGAATCCCGCATCGGACGGCCCTTTACTGCATGTCATTCCGCCTCTCTCGTCTTCCCCATTTCCTGTCTCTCTATCCTATCCTGTCCAATAAAGGCACAAAAGCCCAAAAAAATATACTTAAAAAAAAAAAAAAATTCTCGCCACACCTGACACGTGTGCAAAGTGTCATGAGTTTTGGAGCATGGGAAGGCCCTCAGGGTCCTCACACTCTGGTGCTCAGGCCCTAATGATTGAGTGCTGTGACTCCTGCAGACTGGTCGAATGATTCAGGAGCAGATCTAACAGCGTCTGGTTTGACAGTACGGAGCAGGGACAGAACTGGACCGGCAGTTGACCGGTCCTGGAACAGGCAGTCGGCTCTGAAGAGCTGGTCATTGGTGTGGGAGCTGGTCTGGAGTCAGTCTCCTCTCATTCTGTCAAACTGCAGCTGGATACAACCAAAGGAATATCTGTACCAATTTAATCATCATGTCCATCATCCTTCTGTTCATTTACTGATACTGAGACTTAAACAGCATTGAACCAACCTGACGAGACAGAGTGAGAGAGACAGAAACAGCTTCATGATGACTGTGATGAAGAGTGTAACTGCACTGCAGACTACAGTCTCTGACAGCCAGGTGAAAGGTGAGCTCGTACTGATTCTATCACTGGATCTGAAGCAGCTTCAGTGTGTTCATGTTTCTGAGGAGCTTGTAGCGTCACTGTCTCTTTCAGTCACAGTGTATTGTTGCTGCCTGTTGTTACTCACGTTGCCATGGTGATTCCTGGTGCAGAGCTCCACACAGTGAAGGTGAATCAGGTGTGATGGTGTCTGGGGTTTGGTCTCTGCATCAGATTAAAAACAACCAATAAAACATTAACAACAGATTCATTCATCAGCAATGAAAGAATATTACACAATAAATGGACTCTACCAACTCACAGTTAAACCTGAAGCTGTTTTCAAACCTGTAGTTGGTCTGATCTCGTCTGAATCACTTCATCAGGAAACTCTTTTCCTCTTAGTTCAGTTACTTTTCTCCAAGACGAAATCCAAGTAAAGCTAAATGTATAAAAGGAAGGTGAGAAAGTTCTCAGTCTGTGTATCGTTGGATGATCCACAATTCATCTGTAATTTTAAAAATTACAAAAAAAATGTTTAAATTGTGTCAGAGCCACGAAGAAAAAACAAAAACATTTTATTTTATCTTTGTTCCTTTTTGGATTAGAGAATGAAAACATCTGCATTTGTTTTGGTCATTTAATCAGAAATAGCTGCTGCCTTGACTTACAAGGTGTTTTTCTTTTCCATGGTCATACAACTTTTCATACAACAAGAAATAAAATCACTAGAAAACAGAACCAAACTAAAGTCAGTTTTCTCTTGATATTCTGAGGCGGGATGTGATCATTGACAGGACCGGAGCCCCACATGTAGGACTGGCTCTGTGACTGAGGCTTTAGCTCAGGTCCACATGGGTCAGTACATATTAAGCCTTGTGCATATGTTCCTTGTCATTATGAATGATTTCCCACAGGATTACAGCGTTAGTGATTCTGCTCAGTCTCCTAGAATTACAGTTTGTAAAGTGATGGTATAGTTTGTTCTATAGTTCAACTTCCTCTTTAGGACTTGATCCTAAAATAAATCAACAACAGGACAAAACCACATCAGATGAAACATCCATTCATCATCATCCTCATCATCACCATCATCATCATCCTCATCATCATCCTCATCATCACCATCATCATCATCCTCATCATCATCCTCATCATCACCATCACCATCATCATCATCATCATCATCATCATCATCATCATCCTCATCATCATCATCATCCTCATCATCATCCTCATCATTCTCATCATCCTCATCCTCATCATCATCATCCTCATCATCATCATCGTCATCATCATCATCCTCATCATCCTCATCATCATCATCATCCTCATCCTCATCATCATCATCCTCATCATCATCATCATCATCCTCATCATCATCATCATCCTCATCATCATCGTTATCATCCTCCTCATCATCATCATCATCATCATCATCATCCTCATCCTCATCATCATCATCATCCTCATCATCATCATTCTCATCATCATCATCCTCATCATCATCGTTATCATCCTCATCATCATCATCATCATCATCCTCATCATTATCGTTATCATCCTCATCATCATCATCATCATCGTCATCATCATCATCATCACTAAACCTACACGTCAGTTTTGTTCTAGGACAAAAGTAAACAGCATCTTTTTTACATTGGTAAGAATTTTTACTTTCTGTATTTATATTATACGTATGGAAACATTAAGGTTAGTCATAGATAATATTGAATACATCTTTCCATCAGATTACTATATTGATTTTCATTATGTTTTCCCACTTATTTAACCCTTAGGCCCTGCTCAAATTTACTACCCAAAAATGTACACACACAAAAAAACTGCTTTTAAATCCTCATACATCAATATTTTTTTTTACTTTTTTTTTCATAAATCAAATAAACAACTTCAAACT